GTACATACTTTTTTATAATTATTTATTTTATAAAACTGACTTAAAATATTTAATTTTGCAGTATATTTGTTAGTTTATTAAAATATAATATACAAGATTATATAATAAAAAATTACAAATATACAAGTACAAAAAATTCTAACATAATTAACTAGTAAATCATTTATTATATACCAGAATACTTTATATATGTACTATTAAGTAGCTAATTTAACTTAGTAAGTATTAGCATTTAAATGCCTTCAGTTATTTTTAACATATGGGGACTGGTCTAGCAAAACAAGGGGTTTGGTCTTAAAAAAAACTTTTTAAGTTTATATGACAATTATATGTTAATTCCACTAAAAATTACAAATATAATAAAATTTCAAAAAAAAATTTTTTGGACCTAACCCCTTGTTTTGCTGGACCAGTCCCCATATATATACTTTATATTCAATAATATTATATAACTACAAAACCTATTACATTATGATAACCTTATAAAAAATATTTTTACTAAAATATACTTAAAATAAACTTAAAATTTTATTTTATACTTAAAATATACTAAAGCATATGGGCTGATTTGTCTACCTTTAATTAAAATATTATATTTTTATTATACAAAATACTATATACTATACAGTAAATTGGAAATGAGTATTAAAAAATTTTTATTTAATGTTATTATACTATAATTTGGTAAATATTTCTTTTAAATTAATATAATTCTTAGCACTTACTATATATATTAAAAATTTGTATCTCAACTTAAAACGTAAATATCTCCAGATCCAGTGATCCAATTGGCAAGCTCTTTTTTCGTTCATATAGACCAGATCAAAGGCTTTCCAAAGAGCCTAAATTTATAAAAAATGGATCAGTGGATCCCAAGATATCTGCATTTAAGCATGTTAAAAAGTTCATACCTTAACTTTAAACGTAAATATTTCCAGATCTAATAATTCAATCGGCAAGTTCTTTTTTCTCCTATAAAGTCAGAACAAGGGCTTTCCAACGAGCCTAAAATTATGGAAAACGGATCAGTGAATCTTGATATATTTGCATTTAAAGTTGGTAATACAAACTCTGACATAAAATAATTATTTTTATTGTTTAAAAATATTTATTATGATACCATCTTTTATATGATATTTTTATTATACTTTTATAAACATTTATAGCTACTAAGGCTATATAAATTTTTATTTTACTTTATATTTTTTTTATTAAAATATACTTACTTTTTAATAATATATGTTAAAAATTCCATATATATGAAAAATGGGTTTTTTATTAGTGAAATGGGTTTTTTTACAGCTCTTTTACATTTAATAATTTAAGTTTCACAAATGTAAATTTTTGTTTAACTTATTATTTAGTCAAGTGATCATCAATCAGATGATTTTTTGGTATTACAAAACAATTTTGAGTAACAAAAATTGTGAAAATTAATCAATAAATCTTTTTAATGCAGAATAGACAAATCAGCCCATATGTAATAGGCAAAAATTAAATATCATTTAAGTATAATTTAAGTATATAATAATATACTTAAAATATTCTTATTTTAAATATCCTTAAAATATACTAAAATAGGCAAAATTTAAATGTAAATTAAATATATTTTAAGTATATATTAAATACAATTTAATTCAAATTTTGTGAAAATTCAATTTTCAGTATATTTTAAGTATAAAATAAGAAAATTAAGTATATTTTAAATAAAATTAAATATATTTAAATATATTTTAAGTAAAATTTTTTTTATAGGATAAGATGACATATCGACTAATTAATCAAAACTATATTAGATACTTTAATAGCCAATTCTACTATAATCAAAATTTTTTATTATACAAAGTTTAAATCAGTCTATTACTTTTTTTATAAATCATTTAATATAAATAATACTTAAAACTTTAAAAGATTCCTATAAACATTAAAGTTATTTTTTTTATAGAAATCATTCTTAAGAACTGTTACAAAATAATTATGTTCTTTTTTTTCCAAATTTTTTATAAAATTTAAATTTTTACAGTTTTTTTTTGTAAAGAAAAAATATATGAAATTTATTTAGTTCTTAAAATAAATTCTTAGAATTTCATATTAAAAGTGAAATATTTGAATGTAATTTTGTCCTTTAATCTTTTATAGACTTATTATAAAAATTTGGAGGTAAATCCATGTTTTGATAAGGTAAAATAATTTTATAATATTGTATGTTAATTAATATAATTACAGATAAAATGCTAAAGGTTTCTAAAAGAAAAAGTCAATCACGCAAAGCAAACCAAATTTCTGTAACACATAAAGAATTTCTCAGAAAGAAAAAGAATTCTTGAAATTAAATAAGCACTTATACTAATGAATTGCTACTAATCTATCAAAATATCATTTAACTAACTAATGATAAAAAGATGATTAAATATACATGTTGTGTCTCAGATTGATTCTTGTCTCAGATTAAAACTACCAATAGGATGTGACGAATTATGTATATACACGTGATGATCTACATAGTAAAATTACCATATATGTAATGCACGTGATCTGATGTTAATCTCACGCAGCGTGAGTTTTAATCTGAGGCAAGAATCAATCTGAGACACAACTAAGGTTGCTTGCTGAAACCTAGGGGTTTAGGAAAGATGGCGTTTTGCCGAAAAGCAAAATTTTGCCGAAACTATATTAAGTTATATTAAAAAACTGGCGAAACTTTGGAGAAAGACGAAACTGCCGAAACTTATTATAAATGCTGAAACTGCCAAAATTCTGCTGAAACTATAATAAATCTATAGTAAAATTTTGACTAAACTAATCGTAGGATTTTGAAGTGGTTTAGACAAGCAATCTTAGGCACAATATACATGTCATAAAAAGTTAATTGAAACAATTGAAAAATTACCAGATGATTAATTAAAATCTACTGTTTATTTACTTAATACTATGCATTATTTAAAAAGACCAAATCAGAGTAATTTATTTTCACCATTTCTACAAAATAAAGCTCTGGATTTTGTAAACTCCTCTCTTTACAGAGCAGATCAAAACTCAAGTTCATTGATTCAAAACAATAAAACACTTCAAAAGCAAATAACTAAATTAAAACATTCTAATACTAAAAAAAATCATAAAATTAGATAACTAATAAGTTCATTATCACAATATAAACACAAGCATCACTAATATATATCAAAGTTCATGTTACAGCTCGTAGGTTAATTTACAACCTCTTAAAGAATCTATTAAAGCAATGATTATGAAAAATAAATCACAATACACAAATGAGTTTATCAACATAGTAATACAAATTTCTCAAATAGGCCAAATTTCTTTTTGAAGTACAGTTCAAGCCACACAATATTTTTAATTGGAAAAAGGTCACTACTATTAAAATAATAATCTATTATTTGTTGGAATAAAGAGATTAGTGATGCATGTAAATAAAATTTTTAATCAGAGTAATACCTTTAAATTTTACTCCTTTGGCAATTGGCATAATGGTAAATAAATCAATTTGAAGTTAACAAAAAATTTTTGTTCTTTGTATTATATTCTGGAATAATAGAACAAATACTCCTGATTTTCGATTACTTAAAATGAGGAATTTAGATTGTTGTACTGGAAATTCTGTTGTATAAGCAATATATGGCATTTTTAAATATTTTAAAATAAAATTTTACTAATGCTTGACTTTTGTATCTGATAATACAAATTACATAAGTAGCCCAGTAAAAAGTCCTGTACTGAATTCATATTAGGTTTGTATTGAATTTATACATGAGCCCGTTTGGTATGAAAAATTGGACCATAAATGGGATAAAAGTAAAATAAATATGGCCAAATTTTATACCGAATAGGCTCATTTCATAATTGGCCTATATTTGGTACAAGAACTTTTTACTGGGTAGTAAAACTGGAGGAGCAGTGGTACTATTTAATAAATTAACTGGAGCTGAATCTTATCAGATTTCTTGTAGTCTATATGTAGTGTATATTATTATGAATAATTTTGAAAAAGTATGTTTTGGAAAATTATCTAGTATAAGTAGATTTTACAAAAGAA